TGGAGCAGCCAGGACTGAGCTGGACAATGGAAGCTCCAAACTCCTCCATTTCCATGGAGCAGAAGTCCCAAAATCCCAGAACAAACCAGGCTGGAGAGGACCTTTGAGACCATCAAGTCCAACCTAAAAAACAGAACTTCTCTTTCCTGGTATTTTTGGAGTTAGACCACCAGGAGCCCCCGAGGCTTTAGGAACCCTCCAAGGATTTAGGAAACCTCTAAGGCTTTAGGAAGCCTCCAAGGCTTTAGGAAGCCTCCAAGGATTTAGGAACCCTCCAAGGCTTTCAGAAGCAAGGCTTTAGGAAGCCCTCCAAGGCTTTAGGAAGCCCTCCAAGGCTTTAGGAAGCCTCCAAGGATTTAGGAAGCCTCCAAGGCTTCAGGAAGCCCCCAAGGCTTTAGGAACCCTCCAAGGATTTAGGAAGCCCCCAAGGCTTTAGGAACCCTCCAAGGCTTTAGGAAGCCTCCAAGGATTTAGGAAGCCTCCAAGGATTCAGGAAGCCCCCAAGGCTTTAGGATCCCTCCAAGGCTTTAGGAAGCCTCCAAGGCTTTAGGATCCCTCCAAGGATTTAGGAACCCTCCAAGGATTTAGGAACCCTCCAAGGATTTAGGAAGCCCCCAAGGCTTTAGGAACCCTCCAAGGATTTAGGAACCCTCCAAGGATTCAGGAAGCCCCCAAGGCTTTAGGATCCCTCCAAGGCTTTAGGAAGCCTCCAAGGCTTTAGGAAGTCTCCAAGGATTTAGGATCCCTCCAAGGCTTTAGGAAGCCCCCAAGGCTTTAGGAAGCCTCCAAGGATTCAGGAAGCCCCCAAGGCTTCAGGAAGGCAGCCCCAGTCCCCCCAGTCCGTGTGCCAGCCCACAAGGGGTGGGATCAGGATCAAGGATACTGGGTGACGACGTTCATGAGGAGGTAGAACCACATGATTGGCAGGGTGAGGCCGATCACCGGCACCCGGAACAGCTCTGCAGGGAAAAAGGATGGGATGAGGTCACTGCTGCAGGAGCCTCTCTCCTTGCCAGGACTAACCATGGTCCTGCAGCCCTACACTGCCCTCCTGCTTGCAATTCCAGAGGGAAAAATGGGATATAAGGAAAAATATTAGGAGAAAAGCTCTGTTTTGCTCTCCTGGGTCAGAGCTCTCGTGCTGGAGGAATCCTCTCTGCTCCCACAGCAAATCCTGGGGAACACCAGCAAAGAAAATCCCAGCAGGTCCATGCTTACATCCCTTATTGAGGATTAGGTCCTGGTATTCCCATTTCTGAGCCACCACGTTCCTTTTCCCAGGGATCACTCTTGGTTGTGGCTGGTGTGTGGGAATTAGTCAGAAACTTGGGCTTTAATCATGGAATTATGGAATGGTTCCTTAAATTCCATATTCCCATCCATGATAGGGACACCTCCCACTGTCCCAGGCTGCTCCAGCCTCAGTGTCCAACCTGCCCTTGGACATTCCAGGGATCCAGGGGCAGCCCCAGCTGCTCTGGCAATTCCAGCCCAGCCAGCAATTCCTTCCCGCAAATTCCTCAAAATTCAAAAGGCTTGGAACACCCCAAGCTGCCAGCATGCACCACTGCAGGAAGGAAACTTCCCAGAGGATTTTTCCAGAGGCTGGGAAGGCCCAGGAGCAGCCCAGCACTCACCAGACTGGCTGAAGAGCACGGCGTGCTGGTAAATGTTGGGAGCCAGGAGCAGGAATCCAGGGAGCGGCAACGCGTGCTGTGGGGGGAGAAACAAACCCATGGTGGGATCAGGGGATGGGAATCCACCCCAATTCCCTGCTGGAAAGCAGCTGGATCTCAGCAGGCTCCTCACTGCTCCATCCTGGCAGGGTGGGATCCTTTTTGTGCCCAATCCAGGAGTGGAAGGGACCTTGGAGCAGGGAGAGCCCCAGGGACTCACGTTGTAGAACAGGGCCTCCTTGGAGTGCTTCCCAAATTTCTTGTACAGCATCTCCTGGAAAATCCCCATCCTGGCAGACATCAGCAGGGCGAAGGTGAGGGCAGCAATACCTGGAAGGGAAGCACAGCCCTGCAGCTTCAACTCACCAAATTTGGCTTTCAGGGGCAAAAAAAACCCAAAAAAACAAACAAACTGCCCAGACTTGGTAAGAAAACTGGTAACAATTCCAGGGTTTGATTACAGGCATCCAAGAGATCCCGTAAAAATACCAGGGATGCACTTTGTGCCACTACTGATAATAATCAATCCCAGATTTCCCAAAGAGCCACCAACAGAGCCAGGGTGGAGGCAGAAAACCACTCATTAAAGCCTCCTCCATGAATTGTTGTGCAGAAGGAACACCTGGAGCAGCCCCAGCCCCTCTTCCTTTCGCCAAGAGAATTCCAAGAATCCTGCCAGGATCCCAGAAATGCGAGCCTCACATACCCAGCAACCACCAGAGGAAAGCCTGGGGTCCATCCTCTTCATTTAAGCTGGAGTCAGATGCCTGAAGGGAGACACAAAGTCACCAAGAGCCACCAGGCCCCTGCAGCAGCCACAGGCTTCCCACGCTGCTCCAGGGAATGCAGAGATTCCAGCAAAAAAAAAATAAAAAATAATCAGGATTGTTCCTGAAAGGAAGGGCCTGGTTTGATGAGACTGAACTCTTTTAACCACAAAAATAATCAGGGTCCCTTTTCAAGCTCCCAAAGCCAGCCCAATCCCAGCTTCCTGTGTCCTCATTCCCAGGTTGCTATATCCTCATCCCATTCCCAGACTCCTGTGTCCTCAATCCCATTCCAAGGTTTTTGTATCCCCAGCCCATTCCCAGGTTCCTGTGCTCCCATCCTATTCCCACATTCCTGTGCTGCCATCTCATTCCTGGGTTCCATGTTCCTGTATCCCCATTCCCAGGTTTCTGTGTCTCCATTCCCAGGTTCTTCTATCTCCATCCCATTCCCAGGTTCCTGTATCCCCATTCCTGGGTTCCTGTATCCCCATTCCCAGGCTCCTGTGTCTCCATTCCCAGGTTCTTCTATCTCCATCCCATTCCCAGGTTCCTGTATCCCCATTCCCAGGTTCCTGTGATCCCATCCCATTCCCAGGCTCCTGTGTCTCCATTCCCAGGCTCCTGTGTCTCCATTCCCAGGTTCTTGTGTCCCTATTCCCAGGTTCCTGTATCCCCATTCCCAGGTTCCTGTGTCCCCATTCCCAAGTTCCTGTGTCCCCATCCCATTCCCAGGTTCCTCTATCCCTATTTCCAGGTTCCTGTGTCTCCATTCCCGGGTTCCTGTGCTCCCATCCCATTCCCAGGTTCCTCTATCCCTATTCCCAGGTTCCTGTATCCCCATTCCCAGGTTCCTGTATCCCCATTCCCAGGTTCCTGTGCTCCCATCCCATTCCCAGGTTCCGTTGCTCCTATCCCATTCCCATGTTCCTGTGTCCCCATTCCCAGGTTCCTGTGTCCTCATTCCCAGGTTCCGTTGCTCCTATCCCATTCCCATGTTCCTGTGTCCTCATTCCCAGGTTCCGTTGCTCCTATCCCATTCCCATGTTCCTGTGTCCCCATTCCCAGGTTCCTGTGCTCCCATCCCATTCCCGGGCTCCTGTGTCCCCATTCCCAGGGATAACTGCGTGGGAAGGAATAAGAGCTCTGTCCAAGCCCGTCAGGAGCTAAAACCAGTCCTAAACCCAGGCTTGTGCTCAAGAAATGGATGAAATCCGGCCGAGGGCACAGCTCCAGCTGGATTTGCCTCAGCTCTTTCCCCGTGCTCCAGGGAAAATCAGATTTATTCACCTCTGCCGCAGCTGCCAGCTCAACCCCGAATTCCAAACTGCTGGGAGCCGAAGTGGATAAACAGAGAGCCAAGGCTGCGGAGCCCAGCCCCTCCTCGGGTAAAAAGCTTGGAAATGATGGGAATTTGGAGCTCTGACAGCTCCCTTTCATTTCCAACCTCTCCGAGCTGGATTAAGTGCAGCCAATTTTCCCTTTCTGCCATTTTTTTGTCATCGGCTGACAGGGCCAGGCCGTGGGTGCTGACTCCGAGTGCGTTCCGCACGGATTTGCTTCCCTCCTTCCTGCTCTCCCAGCACTGCCACTTTATTTAAGGGTCAGGCTGGATGACAACAGGAAAAATCCAGCCTGAAAGGCAACAATTTCTTGTGGGATGGAAAGAGGGAAGATTTCTGATGGCTTTTTGTTGAGGATTCACTCTTTTCTGTTACCAAAAAAATGAGGTTTACTCCCAGCAAAAAGCAGCGTGAACAGGTGAAGGGACGCCTGAAATTAAAGAAATCCCCACAGGAAAATAAAACCAGGAGGAAAAGCTTTTTGGGGAGCGGATGTAGAGGTCGGAGACACCTCGCGTCTCCATGAAAAACCAGGCAAAGGGAATTCCTGAGGCTCCTGGTCCCTTCCCAGCCTTACCACTTGCTTGGCAGACATGAAGGTGCAGGTGAAGATGCCCAGGGACACCAGGGCTATGGAGCTGCACTTCGACACGCTGTACCTGCACGGGGACAAGGGACACGTCAGCGACCCCGCCGAGTCCCGGGATATCCCGGATTCCGGGATAACGGGCACGCTGTACCTGCACGGGGACAAGGGACACACCACCAACCCTGCCGGGGTCCCTGCATCCCGGGATATCCCGGATTCCGGGATAACGGGCACGCTGTACCTGCACGGGGACAAGGGACACACCACCAACCCTGCCGGGTGTCCCTGCATCCCGGGATATCCCAGATTCCGGGATAACGGGCACGCTGTACCTGCACGGGGACAAGGGACACGCCACTGACCCCGCCGGGTGTCCCTGCATCCTGGGATATCCCGGATTCTGGGATAATGGGCACGCTGTACCTGCATGGGGACAAGGGACACACCACCGACCCCACCGGGGTCCCAGGATATCCCGGGATATCCCAGATTCCGGGATAACGGGCACGCTGCCCCTCCTTGACCGGCCAGTCCAGCTGACTCCAGCTCAGCACCTCAGGGGGCTTTTCTCCCCACGTTTATCCCGGTTTATCCCAGAGCTTCTCCCAGTTTATCCCAGCGCTTCTCCCAGTTGATCCCAGCGCTTCTCCCAGTTTATCCCAGCACTTCTCCCAGTTTATCCCACAACTCCGGCCTGGAGTCTGTGCAGGCACGGCTCAGCGTTATCAGCGTGTTATCAGTGTTATTAATGTGTTATCAGTGTGTTATTGATGTGTTATCAGCGTGTTATTAATGTGTTATCAGTGTTATTGTGTTATCAGTGTGTTATTAATGTGTTATCAGTGTGTTATTGATGTGTTATCAGCGTGTTATTAATGTGTTATCAGTGTGTTATTGATGTGTTATCAGTGTGTTATTAATGTGTTATCAGTGTGTTATTGATGTATTATCAGCATGTTATTAATGTGGTATCAGTGTGTTATTAATGTGTTATCAGTGTGTTATTGATGTATTATCAGCATGTTATTAATGTGGTATCAGTGTGTTATTGATGTGTTATCAGTGTTATTAATGTGTTATCAGTGGGTTATCAGTGTGTTATTAATGTGTTATTAGTGTGTTATTAATGTGTTATCAAGCATGTTATTGATGTGTTATCAGCATGTTATCAGCATCTTATTAATGTGTTATCAGCATGTTATTGATGTGTTATCACCACGTTATCAGCATCTTATTGATGTGTTATCAGCGTGTTATTAATGTGTTATCAGCGTGTTATTGATGTGTTCTCAGCATGTTCTCAGCGTGTTATTAACGTGCTATCAGCACGTTATCAGCACTGCTGGAGCCACAGTCCCCAGCAGAAGGGAGGCACCGAGCTCCACCCCAGCCGCAGCAGCACAGAATCCCTCAGGAGCACTTCCAGAACTGAACACAGAGGCTGCAGCTGTGGAAAATCTCTCCCCAGCCCAGAATTCCAGCCAGGACAGGAGGGAAGAGGTGCAAATGCAGGAGGGGCTACTCCAGCCTCCATGCCACGCTCCCTGTCCCAGTTTCCCAGCACTAAAATCAGAATATTTAACAGGAAAAATGATGGCACGAAACACCCAGCAGGATTTAATCCATGGCAGAGCATTCCCTAAAGATAAGAAGTTTGTGATTTACCTTTTCTTCAGGATGATGATTCCTAGAGCCATGCTTGCTATCAGAGAACCCTGGGGAAAAAAAAAACAAAATAAAAACAGAAGGGAAAACCAAAACATGAGGTCAGCAGGCCAGAATTCCCCAGCTTGGGATGCTGATCCCAAAGGAACACTGCAAACTCAGTGTGGTGGATACCAGAACACCAGGAGAAAAGCCACGTCTGAAGCAGGAAAACTGACAGGGAGAAGGTGCAGCTTCCTTGAGGTTGGATATTGGGAAAAATCCTGCCCTGGAAGGGTTGTCCATTCCTGGAGGGATTTCCAAGCCCTGTGACACCTGGGACATGGGGCAGTGATGGCCTGGCAGTGCTGGGACTGGTTGGACTCCATGAGCTTAAAGTTCTCCTCCTGCCTCAATGATTCCATGATTCCCTTCATCCAGGAAAAGGGGAGAAGGTGAGCTGGCTCCCTTGGGAACAAGGATACTGGGCTGGGGACCTCCCCCTTATTTTTTTTTCAGAACATGGCCAAATCTTACTGGTTTAACTGGGACCAGGTCTCCTGCAGTGTGGGCTGGTTTTGAACCTCTCCCGATTCCAGATATTCCACCCCCAGGATGTGCTGTGGGAAAAGAGCTCCCACCAGGAGGTTTTGTTATTCCCAACAGCTGGGCCTCCATTTCCTTGGGGTTTAAGAGATCTTTTAGCCTGGCACTCATCCACACTTCAGTGAAGATGCAGTTTAATGGGTTTTTTTCCCAAAGCAAAGAACTGTGTAGGTGGATTAGGCCAAATCCCAAATCCCAAATCCCAAATCCCAAATCCATGCTCTCTGACCTGTAATGTTCAAGACATGGAACCACTTGGTGGCAGGGAAAGCTGAATCCCTTTGGCCAACCAGAGTCTGGGATTGCTTTTGTCACTGCCACTTCCCCCTCAGCTCTGGAATTCCAAAGCCTGTCTGAGCCTGTTTCCCTGTCTATCCATTAAGCTGGAATTTAATGATCAACACCATTACGTGAAACCTTTGGAGCTGAGCTTTGGAGCGAGGCTGCGCTCCTGGAAATCCTGCTGGAATTCAGGATTTCCACAGGGGTTTGGTGCTCTCAGGACACATGGAACAGGGATGGTTGCAGCAGAAATGATGGAATGGGAGGAGGAGGAGGAGGAGAAGGAGGAGGAGGAGGAGGAAGAGGAGGAGAAGGAGAAGGAGGAGGAGGAGGAGGAGAAGGAGAAGGAGAAGGAGAAGGAG